TACAAAACTCAGCATGTAACTGGTGTAATATAAAATGAAAGTCTAGGTCCGTCTCGTGGGATCTGCCCTTCTACTGCATTTCTCTCAAGGTGACTAAGGCAGCAAGGCGTGTCAACCTTCTTTTCTCTCCTTTTAGCATTTATTTCAGTTGTGCTAAAATAAGTCTAGCAGTCTACCGTTTTAGTGATTTTAAAGTGCACAGCTCTGGGAATTCCCATCTCTGTGCAGACATCACCCCATCCTTCTCCAAAGCTCTCTGTGACACTCATCGCCTGTGGGAGTCAGAGGCAGACGGAAAACTGCATTTGTTTCTAATAAAAATCCAGTTTTAGTTAATACAACAATATACTCCAAAGGGTTTATCTTTCTGAATGTTAATTATAATTCAGCAGCACTGGTCAAAAACAAAGGAAGCAGATGCCTTGGGGAGCAGAGCTGGTGAGGAGTGGGCCTTTGGCCAAAGGGGGCCATGCAGATGGCATGGCAAGAGGACAGGTCATCAGGAGCCCCAGGGAACTGTGCAGGGCTTGACTGCAGCAGCGCATTGGCAGGCTCACTGCTAGTACTGCTAAGGAACTCTCTACCAAACACTGAGCCAGCCACTGGAACTGGACAGGTATATGTTTCAGAAACCCCATCCTGGCTATGTTACGGAGGGCTGAGAAAGTACAGTAATTGGGAAGACAAAAGTACTAAATTAAGGTGGTATCAAAGGATGAAGGCAAATGATGCATACCATTTTTAGTTTTATCTGTTGTCTGGCCACTATCAAACCTCAGGGTGTGTTATTTTGTCTAATGGTTACTATGGCCTGAATAAATTTTATGTGGTGTATTCAACAAGTACTAAGTAAGATCTGTCAGTAACAAAGAACCTATTGTACAAATAAAGATCCTTTTTAAAATTTTATTATTTTTATTTTATGTGTATGAGTATATTATCTGTATGTATGTAAGTACACCCAAGTCACACAATGCCTGTGGAGGCCAGAAGAGGGTATCAGATCTCCTGGAACTGGAGTTACAGTTAGCTGTTAGCCAACATATGGGTGCTGGGAATCGAACCCAGGTCCTCTGCAAGAACAGTCAGAGCTCTTATCCACTGAGCCATCTCTCCAGCCCAGATAAAGATCCTTAAATCAAGTATGTGTTCTGTTCAAGGCACACTGGTGAGGCAGATTAACTAGATCAATGTCATTTTGAAACATTAATGGCCAAAGGGAGGGAAAGTCATAATTCCACCAGGTTTCCTGTGGTACAATTGGGGAGGATGCTGTTCTGGTTTAATTTCTGTTGTGACAAATGCCCTGACAAAAAAGCAACGTAGGGGAGGGAAGGTTTACAATTCCAGGTTATAGTCTCTTAACTGCAGGGAAGTCAAGGCAGGAATTTAAAGCATCACATCCAGTAAAGTGCAGAGAGAGATGACACATCCTTGCCTGCTTGCTCCTCACATTCAGCTAGCATCATCCACTCTTACACAGCACAGGGCCCAGCCCAGGAAATGGTGCTGTCTACAATCTTCTATATCAATGACAAGACAATCCCCTACAGACATGCCCACAGTCCTCATCAAAACTCTTTACAGGTGACTGTAGGTTGAGTCAAGTTGATAGTAAAAACTGACCAGCACAGACACAAATTCTCAATGAAGCAGGAAGGACTAAATGGGCTGTAGGGAGTCACACAGTAAGACGGCCTGCCCTGGGGTTTATCTACAGGAATGGAGAATGGTTTCCAAATAAGCTTCAAAGGGAAACATGTATTGCAGTCCACATTCCACAGTATGAGGACATTTCTCCAAAAACACTTATGGGTAACTTAGAGGAAAAGGTGAGGGCAGATAATATACAAGGCATTGGGTGAGAAGTGGGAACTTCAGCTTACTTTCCATGTAACACTAAGAACAGTGTATATGCTCCTTGGCTAGAAAAACCCATTTTTCTAGATTAGCATATCAAATAGAAGATTCCATTATGTCATGATCTTCATTGAAAATTTCAGTTATATAATGATCAGGCTCAAAATACCAGTTAAAGCCATAAAGTGTATATGCATTGCTTTGAGACTATCTTTTTAAATGATTGGTTATATTGCTTCAATATAACCGAGAGTGAAATGAACGCATGTTGTTATTGTGAAAGTTTCTCCTTCAGGTACAAGACAACCATTTAAGGGAAATAAGTAACGTGTTTAGTCTTACTAAATAGTTAATTTAGGCTATCATTAGTATTTTTTTTTTGCAAATGTGTAAATCAACTTGGAATAATCTTTGAAAGCGAAGTTCAAAACACACTGAAATAGTATGTAAGCAGTACCTTCCTACTTGAAAAATTACATCTAAAGTGCAGGCTGGTGCCAGGGAGGAATTTGGCATCAGCATTATCTGAGTTGACGCTTTGACCGTGAACAAGTCAAGGGTTTTGTTTTCTTGGTTTCCAAATTAGAATCTCCCAGAAACACTAAACAGAAAAGTAGACACAGATTGTGGAGACTTTTTATATTTTTTACCTTTCTAAAGAACGTTTGGAAAGGCCATTTACAGTGGATCATTTAGCAATTGTTTCTTGGGTACAGCCAAAAGCTGCATTTGAGGCCTTTGTTTTAGGTCCTCATTCCAAGCAGTACTTTTCAGACAGACCAAATGTGTACTCTACTCAGCCACAGCCCACTTGAAGTTAAAAAACAAGATAGTAGGTGTAAATGACTAAGATGGGCCTGACAGATGCTCTGAGAAGCAGAAGGGTTGGGAGCGCCATGCAGAGCGTCTTGATAAGAAGTCTAGACTATCAGTAATCTGCTGATGGTGAGAGAAAACAGATTAAGAAGCTGTACAAAACCAACAGCTACAGGAACACAGAGTACTGGGAAACTTGGGATATGCATAGGAATCAGGATCCCAGTTTCCCTCCCGTTATCTATGACCCCAAGTGACACTAAGGAGTGACTCCTATCATGTGTGGGGAATAAAAGGCTAAGAAGAGGGAGGCAGACATCTCTAAATGCCAAAGGGGAATTGTAAAATGAGAGCAGGAAGATAGTGACTACAAAACTCACTCTACCATTATGGACATGTTCTTCCCAGGGGCAGAAGAACAAGACAGGCAAACAAAGTACGGGTCGTTTTTGAAAATATAGATTTGAACCTCCTCTCTATCCTGAAACACATAGCAATAAAGCCTGTAAACCTCTCAAGGTTCTGCTATACATTTTCTTCCTGGAGAAACAATGCTTACTGTTTACTGTAAGCAGACAGGACCTTTCACACAGAGGGCTCAATGCTCAAGTTAAGAACAGGCAAGGCTTGTGGATACTGGCCAGGTCTCTTCTGAGGACCTGTAAGATTCTTTTAAGAATCTGGGGTAGTCCTAGCACATAGCAAGCTTTGGGTGCACAGGAGGTGCCATCTTCTCTGCAGAGTTAGCCATGTCCTGCCTGCGGTGGGGCGAAGAAGCTGCCCTTTGTGCAAAGTAGCAAAATACATGGCCATTTCTAGGCAGATTTGGAGGACAGAAAAGCACAAGCTATATTTCTGCTCCATTTGTGCCTTTGGCTGGGTAGTCTTTTACAGTGAACAACTTGTACAATGTGGGAAATTTTTCTCCTTTCTAGTTTAGTTACCAGATGAGTGACATGAACCTGTGTGTTTGACCTGAAGGATTCATTGGGAAAGGGTTAACAAGGTAAGGAAGAAGTAGCTAGTCACTGTTACATTTGCAAGCCACCTGTTAAATTATTTGTACCGACAGTTAAAAAAATAGAAAAATTATACCATACTATTATGAAATATTAATATGAGATATTAAAACACAAGTAACATTGTTTTTTATTGCTCTAAAGATCCTCCTCTTCCTCCTCCTCCATTTCGTCCTCCTCCTCCTTCTCTTCCTCCTCCTTTTAGACAAGATCTCAAGTAGCCTGATTTGGTCTCAAACTCACTAAGTAGCTGAGGCCAGCCATGAACTCCTGATCCTCCTGCTTTCATATCTCAAGTGTTTGGATTATGGATATGTGTTTTAGGTATGCCTAGCCTAAACATTCTTATGGTCTCTTCTGACAGTAGACAAGTTTAACTTAGGAGTCCACTTCCCTCTCTCTTATGACGATGACGATGACGATGATGATGATGATGATGATGATGATGATTGGGGAACTAACCCAGAGCTTTGCACATGCTAAGCAAATGCTCTATCACTGAGCAACATCCTCAGACCTCCTCTTTTCTAAATACATTTGGCAATCCAGTGCCAAGGCAACCTCAAAGTCACACTATTGCAGAGCTGTTCTCAGGAAACAGAAGCAACTAGCACTAACAGCAAACCTAAGGGCCCTCGCCACTTCTGGGGCGCAGCCCTCTAGCAAGCACATATGTTTCACTCGTATATGAGTTAGCATCTTGGAAAACTGTAGGGCAAATGCTTCCTCACAGTTGCCCTGCTCACTCCCACACCTCTGTCTCATGAACCCTAGCATCCAAATATCCCAGGGGCAGTGAGGGACTGTTCAGGAAACAGCAGCTTCCATGAGCAATGCAGCAGGAAATCAGGCCCTGCTCATGCAAGACAAGAAAACCATGGGATGGATTACCAAGAAATGTCTCAGCACCATCAAGAAAGATGGATGCTTCTGTTGCCTGGCCCTGACCACACTGGTCCCAGGCTACCCAGCAAGAGGAGGCAGTGAGCAACAGGGATGGTCTGTGTTACCAGGTAAACAAAGGCAAAGAAGAAGGGCACAGGATGGGAGTGAGGGGTTGAGGTGAAGCTCAGGAGGAAGGCACGGATAGGCAGGGAAGAGAGTTGCACCTGGCCTTGGGTACTCATTACTAGTCCCATGGTGCAGCCAACTTTCAAAGAAGGCCTATACACAACCCAGATTTTAGTAAGTCCTAGCTGAATGTTTAATTTTACATTAACAAAAACCTTCCTTGAGATGGATTTAATATTTAAAGATATCTCTCCCAAAAGCCTATCTCTTCAAGGGAGGGAGTGCTTTCCTTACCTCAATGATGTAGAGGACCACGTTCTTGTAGAAACAGTAGAGGATGCACTTGGTCACCCGGTTGTAGCTCCAGGCTCCGTGAACCAACAGCAGCTTCTCCAAGTAGGAAAACTGAAAAGGGCAGTGACAAGATTCAGAGCAGCCTGCCATTGAAGACTAAAACCAGAGTGTACTTATTACCAGAAAACAGTCAGGGAAGGGAGAGGAAACTAGATCCTCAGCTCACTCAAGAAAAATGCTCCCTAAGGATGGTGCTTTCAGGGCAGCTGGAAACAAGGACACTCTCTCAAGTTGACCTGTTATTTTCCCCAAACATATTCACCTTGACTAGCCTGGGACTCTATAAGCTAGTCCCTTTCAGGGTCTTAATTATGAATAGAAAGTGACTATCTGAACTGGAAGAAAAGGACATCAGAATGGGACACCTCTACAAAATCCACCACCGATTTTATGATGACCTTAGGAGTAATGTGCAGGGGACACTCATAAACAGAGGCTTTGTTAAAAAAAAAATAAAAGATGTGACATGGGGCTGGAGAGATGGTCCAGTGGTGAAGAGCACTGGCTGCTCTTGCAGACGATCTGGGTTAGATTCCCAGCACCCACATGGCCGCTAACAATCATCCGAAACTCCAGTTCCAGGGGATCTGACCCTCTTCTGACTTCCATGGGCATTGCACAACATGCATGCACTTGCATAAATGCAGGCAATATGCGCATACACATAAAATAAAAATAATAAATAAAATAAAAACTATGTATGCACATGAGCACGCACACCATTCCCACTGACAGTTTGCAAATTAAAAACAATTATACTTCCCTCAACCCCCATAGAGGCACGTGGACAGATTCACAAGCACACAGATACAGAGAGACACACGCTGCTTCCACTTCTACCCCCATGATGCAGTCCTTCTTTATCTATTGCTGTGCATTCAGGGGCAACTAACTGGCTCTGTGTGCGAGTGATATAAGGGCTTTTGCAGGCTGAGACTGAGCCACAAATGTTCCAATGACCTTGGGCCCTGCTGGGGCAGGAGGTTTTTGGCTGCCACTTAAATTAAAATCTCCTTTGCTTCCCTTGAGAGCAGCTTTGCTTTCTGTTTCCTATTTCCAGAAGGTTTTAAAATGTGTGACCCTTGATTTGAAGGGAGGAAAACAACGTCTTTTTTTTTTCATTTCATATCATAATCTAGGAAGAATGAACATAGGGGAAATCTTGCTTAAACTTATACTTGAGTTTTCCTTTGGGGAGGCTGCAATGGTTTGGATGTGGTCTGTTCCCCAAGGGTTCTTGTTGGAAGTTTGGTCCTCAGTGTGGTGCTGTAAGAGGTAGCGGGACCTTTAAGAAGCAGAACCATTACAATTGCTACTCTCAGAAAAAATTTGTTCCCATGGGGCTCCAGGTAGTTCCTGAGAAGGGGGCTGGTAAAAAAGAACAAGCCTGGTCCCTCCCCTCTCTGTTTACCTTCCTTTTTTGCAATGTGACCACCCCCTCACATGAACTCCCATGGTGACACTATGCTCTGATGCAGCTAGAAGGTATCAACCAGAGCTCAAAGATGCTGGTACCATGCTCCTGGACCTCCAAAACCATGAGCTATATGCAACCTCTGGTGTTTTGTTATAAAAATGGAAAACAGATTAATATAGTTGACTTTGAATGAAAACATTGAGCTCAGGGGTTAGGAAGATGCTTCAGTTGGTAAAAGTGCTTGCCCTATAAGCACAAAGACCTGAGTTTGACTCACAGCATCCATGTAAAAAGCCAGGCATGGTGGTGTGTGCCTGTAAATCTCAGTGCTGAAAGATGGAGACAGGAGAGTCCCTCGGGCTTGCAGGCCAGTCAAGTGGTCTAGCCACATGGATAAGCTCCAGGTTCTGTGAAAGACCCTGCCTCAAAAAATAAGACAGACTGAATGAAAATGATATCTAATGTTGACCTCTGACATCCACAGGTGCACACACATGCATACGTGCACACAATTAGCTCCTCCATGCTAAGTCACAGTGTTAGTCGGTCCCTGTTCCTGTCCCAGAGGAAATCCACTTTAACGCTCTTAGATTCTGGGAGTGATAATTGGGTTGTACTGCGAACATCCCAGAAACTTAAAAAAAGTTCTTTTGCTCTTGTAAACTCAATTGCTAATTTTAGATGACTCTGGAAATTTGATTTAACTCACTACAGAAAAGAAAGATTCTGACAAAAAAAAAAAAAACTTTTCCTTTTGAGCGGAAACTATATTATAATTTCCATTAGCACCAGAGAAGAGAATTATATCCTAGGAAAGTCCCATTTCAAGTGAGTTTTGCCAGACACCCAAGGGGGCAAGAAGACACCTTGTACTTCCAGATTGAGGGGGCGACTTCAAAATGGCAGAAGTGGGTGCACAGGGAAAAATAAGACTGCCCATCAAAGTTCATTAAGTATACCAAAGGGGAGGGGGACTCATGAAACAGCCATCTAAACAAGTACAAAGGAAGCCCACACTTGACCTGGCCCTTGGTGTTAAGTTTCAACAGGCAAAAGAACATCTGCTAGAGTCTTCCTGAAGCCTCCTGAGTGTTACAGTGATTTGCTCTCAGGAAAAAATGGGAAATATCTTAAATCAATGCTGTCCCAAGGCTACGCAGGGGACAGAAGATAATAGGGGGCAGGTGGAATGTTTTCTGGTGAACGGGGAGCTAAGGGCTGTGGACTTGCATTGGCACCACGCAGTCCACCTGCCCAGGTCAGGTGGCAAACAGTGGCCAGTCATCTGTCCAGGGACTGCCGTAGTGTAAAGCATGAGGCAGGCAGCAATGAATAGGACCAGAGCTCTCCTCACTGCAGAACTTTTCTAGTATCTGTCTTTCCTTCACCTTATGGGGTGCTTCCCCAAAGATGAAATTAAAAAATGTATTCACCCACACCACAGTGAACAGATAAAAAGCACACAGTATTTACTTCAGTCGGGCATGGTTATAATGAGGGGGAGAGGAAGTCATTTAACTGTGACATTTCTGGTGTACTCATTAAGGAAAGAGCAGCTTAGTGTCCCGTGCTCAGCACTAACTCAGCCCTGAAATATCAGCACCCCCACGCCAATCATGGGCAGGACCACGAACAGGAAAACCCATGACCTAGACACACATAGCTGCTTTTTCTTACTTTGGCAGAGCCGACTACTACTCTGGAGGTAAAAGAAATGCCCCGAATGGACTTAGAAAGCTCTGCTCCCCCACACGCCTCTTTGATGCCTCCTTCTGAGAAAAGCAATTGGAGTCTACAGCCTATTGGGATGCAGTTTCAATAAGGAGTCTCCCTTCTCTAGACATTTTAAAGAAAAGAAGCAGACAAATATTTGCCTGGAACTCCTAGGAAACCTCTTAAGAGCCCTTCCAGTCACATGATGTTATAACTCAAGTATTTAATAATGCTGGGGTGTATAACATCCCCAGTTGTTGACAGTGGACAGGAAGCCTAGGTCCCCCAGGCCTCTGCACAGTTGACTCAGGAAAGTAACTGAGCAGGTGTGCGAGGTGGCCCCCAAGTTCACACAGGTCTGCTGTCCTCTGATCTTGGACATATACTCAGACCTGAGGTCAGTCATTGGATGTGTAAGACCTTCATGTTTCCCACCTGTAAAATCAGAACTCCTGCTTCTGTCTCCTTTAGGAGTCAGCTCAAGGATCTGAAGTCAACAAAGGAATAATATTAGCAGGCACTCTTCAGAGCTGTGTGGCTTTGGCCATTCCTTGCTGTACTGGCAGAACCTCAAGCTACGGAGAAACATGAGAAGTGATGGACACAGCGTCCTTCAGGGCTGGGGAGTCCTGAGCTGCAGAGGAGCAGACCACAGCCCTGCAGGAAGTTTGCTGGGTTATCTCTGCAGCTCCTAATTTCAGCTTAAAGGGGAGACAAAGCCACTGCCCCTTGTAATAAAGCAGTTAGGGTAACATGATCAAAAGCGTACTACTTAAGGATGCAGGACGGAGCTGGTACTACAGCAAGGCAGGCATTTGCCTGTGACTGCAGAGACCACTATGATCTAGTAGGCCAGAGAGTCCAGATATGCCCCTGGGAGTCATGAGGTTGGGTTTGCCCCTTCATCTAGTGGCTATCTTGAAGGGTTGATCACTTCTTGGATCTTTAGGCCTCATGTTAGATAATCACAAAGCACATCAAACCTATGTGGACAACACTCAGTTCAGAGAGGAATGGACTTAACTTGTCCTGACTGCAGGAAGCTGATTGTTCCTGGCCATGTGGTCACCTCGCCCATGCTCCCCCAATTCATCCCACAGCAAGGGTCTGGGGTTGTACCCAGCCATAACTACCAAGAGGGGACATCCATAAATCACTGCTTCTCCCTGACCTTAAATACCTGCCCAGTGCATGTGAGTACCTTCTGGGAGAAGGGCGATGCCAAGACTGATAGGATGGCAGAGAACGGTGTTCTGAGCACTGCTGTTCTTCGGCAAGTGACACACACCAGAAAGCCCCGCAGCAGAAGCAGGAATGGAGGATGAGAGGTGATTTTTAGGAGGCCCAGGGACATGTCTGGCAGGAAAGCATGTGGCTGAGATGACAAAGCAGTGGGGCCCACTGGAGGCCCAGGGAAACCCAACCCAGAGGAAGGAGTCTCAAACAGTTCAAGATCAAGACAACAGTAAGATCTGCACACACTAGCAGTTCATCTAGATGGTGACCTCCCAGGGCAGAGAGAGTTCTTGGGGCTGAGTTCTGGTTTCTCATGCTCAGCTATCAACAGGGAGGGACAACTGGAAACCACACGGCTAACCTGTGCGATGGCATAATCCGAGTTGTTGGTGGCCTGCATGCCTTCATTCCCGCTGATCCCCACCCCTACGTGGGCTGTCTGGATCATCCCTACATCGTTGGCACCGTCTCCAATGGCCAGGGTGATGGCTTTCACTCGCTTCTTCACAACGTCCACAATCTCAGACTTCTGCAGAGGGGACACTCTGTGAGGAGAGAGAGAGGGAGGGAGGGAGGGAGGGAGGGAGGGAGAGAGAGAGA